GATCATTCCAAGGCAATCTACGCAACGAAAATTCTAAGAAAGCGACGTTGAACAGATTCAATTCTCTCGGCACCGTTGTTGTAGTTTGGGTTCCAAACCGCTGAACAATACTCAAGCGTCGATCGTACAAGCGAACAATAGAGAGATTTTAGACAGTAGATATCAGTGAAGCCTTATCAACAACATATGCAATGTGCTGCTTGAATGAAAGCTACGAATCCAAGATCCCATCCAATTCTTTCACCTAATTCACGCGTTCGATTGCCGAGCCAAGCAGGTCATAGCTAAATATTATCGGTTGTTGTTTTCGTGAGGACGTAATAGCGGAGCATTTGACTGGGTTCACTACCATTCTGTTTAACCTGCACCAACTAGCGAATACATTCAGCTGACGTTGAAGAAAGTGACAGTCAGCAATGCAGCAGATTCGTAGGAAGATTTTGAGGTCATCTGCATATCATAACCGGAGGAGTTTCGATGACCAGATGCACGTCGTTGAAGTACAGTATAAATATCAACGGTGACTTCCCTGAGGTAAACCTGATGTGGCGAAGAAGCTAGCTGATCTGCAATCTCCTATGGCAACCTTTAGTTGGCGACCGGTAAGATATGGTCGAAACCAATTCAGAAGATTACCGCATACACCTAGCCTGCCGAGCTTAGCAATCGCAATAGCATGGTTCAACTTGTCGAATGCTGCGGATAGGTCTGAATAAATAACGTCCGTTTGAACCCGATCCGACATGCTTTCGGTTATATACGATGTGAGACACAGCAGATTGGTGGTTGTATAGCGGCCGACCGTAAAGTAAACCCATGTTGATCAGCACTCAAATACTGCTGCCAATGGGACAGCAACGGTTCCATAATCACTAGCTCGAATAGCTTCGAAACGGCTCTTAACGATGTAATTCCTCGATACTTATCCACAGCTCGTTTCCTTCCTTTTTGTGGACGGGAAACATGTGCGCAAATTTCCAGCAAGATGGAAATATGCCACTGGAGAGAGCCATTCGGAACAGGCGAAGAAGCGGAATTAACAAGCTAGCAATATATCTCTTCAAAAATACAGATGGAACTCCATCAGGTCCAGGATTGAAGGATGACTTGAGGAGAGTCGCGGCCTTAGAAATCATTTCTGCATTAACATCAATTGCACCCAGCGTTTGATCGTTTACTGGAACGTTCCTGGCAGCCAGGTTAATATGGTCGTCAGTTAGTATCTCATTAGTGAATACACTGGCAAACTTTTCGGAAAAAAGGTGGCAGCAACTTCTCCGTTGAATTCCATAGACGATGGGAGGCCGGATTCCCTGCGTTGCTCGTTCACGTAGTTCCAAAAGGATTTCGGGTGTAGCTTAAGTTTGCGCTGGATGCCTCGTTGGAAACTTGAAAAGCATTCACGACTGACTGACCTGGTACATGGGATTCAGCCTCACATAATGTAGTTTCAGAGGAAGCGTGCGATACTTCGTAAATCTTCTCAATGCTGCTCTCTTGATTGACTTCAACCTACGTAGCTCTCTCGTCTGCCAGAGAGGGTGAGACACTTTGTGGTGAGTTCTTTTCGGGACGTGTCTGTCAATGACATATGCCAAGAAATGTGAAAAGGTTTGCGCTGCAGCCTGAACGTCATCTGGATCAAGGATGTTCTTTCATACCATGCTAGACAATATATAATGCTACGGTGGTCAGCTTTACGGAAGTCATAAGAAACCGTAGCAGGATAGTCGTCGAAATCAGGCACGAGTTTGACCTCAGCTTGTCCTAGCTTAGTTAGTGCACAAGGAGCCGAGGAAATTAATGGAGCCCTATCCTGTGTGCTCACGAAGCAGAGGTCCAAACTACTATCATTTTCGTTAACTACATGGTTAATTTGAGAAAGCGTCGCTGCGCTGTAGCTGTCGAGAAGGCGAATAGCTCCTGCGTGAAATGTAGATCTATCAGGATCTGGGTACAGGAATCCGCAATGAGATGGACTCCACGAAACGCCTGGCAGATTGAAGTCACCAAACTCGACTCGATCAGGTGGAATGTACAGAGCGCATAGAAATAGTGTGCGATCACCCAGATTGATGGCTGTCCAAACCTGCTCCACATAGTTCCATGAATCGTTCTCGATTGCGTGTGCCTCCAACCCGCCACGGATAGCTACAAGGACACCTCCACCAGTAGATTTACGGCTGTTGTTAGGATTCCGATCGCAACGAAAGACCTCGTAGTCAGGACCGAAGACTTGACTGGAAAGCGTTCGACAATCGAGCCACGTTTCGCACAGGACAATTATATCGTAGCAACAATCCGATACAGCTAGGCGGTACTCTTCAACATCAGAATTCATTCCACCGGTGTTTTGTAGAAGATCACGACGTCCTGCTTGCGGCAAGGAATCGAATGACTGCTCTCCCTGGATACTCGCCATAGTGAGTGGGTCGGAAAACCCCCTCTCCACATCCGACAGCAGAACGACTATGATGAACGAAGGCTGCTGATGGCAGGACTGAGACGGAGGGATTGGGGGCTTCCATGGGACTTTCTACGGCTCTAGGGAAGTCATATGACACAGCGTTTGGAGTGCTGGTAAAATCATGGACAACATTATTTTCGATCACGATAACTAAAGCAGGGTGATGACTGATGATGCACTTCCTTGACTAAAGGTTCGGGTGCCGTGGAGAGGAAAGGAGCTGTATCACGAGCACTCACAAAGCAGAGATCCAGGGTGCGGTTGTTTTCATTCAACAGGCCATTGATTTGTGACAGAATTGCGGTACTATAACTGTTCAGGAGCTGGATGGTTCTTACGTGGAAAGAGGAACGCTCGTGATCAGGACAAAAGATTGTTATCGGAGGATGGTTGTCGGTGCACTGTTGTTGTTGAACGGAACGTGGAATGCGATGCATCGGGCAGACGTCGAAGGCGTAGGATGTAAAAATGTCGTTGTGAAGCAGATGTTCAATATGCTACGTCATTTGTAGATGTTCCCTTATTGCATTATCACCATGATTCAAAATTTGTAATAGTGAAAGTCATCATTACACGATACACGAACCAACCCAAAAAGCAGCTGCTTCTGGATTGTGTTTTAGCTAGATGTTTTTCTTTTCAATGTTCCCTTCGACCTCCGCGGTTGTCACATCTTCTATTTTCACCACCTATTGCTTGATGTTGGTGACGTATCTCTAGCCTTTCTGCCAGCCCATGTAGAGGAACTGCTCCGCTATTGCTTTGTCGGAAGACATCCAGTAATTCCATTTCGCATGTTTGTTTCCATCCGCATAGGGCAGGATTTCATCCGATTCCCAATCATCTGACATATAAATTGTTTTAGATCCCGTCACAAAATAAGAATAGAACGAGCAGCAATCAAAATAAGCCGGAGTCTCATTCGAGGCACAAATATCGTTCGGAGTAATGCAGCACAACCTTACTGCATTCCAGACGTCTTTTCGAATTTATGTTCCGACTAATCGTCAAATCATTCACTGTCGTTATACGCATAACTGTCGCATGTTCTATGCAATCCGCATGGGCAGTTGCCAAAACAAAACAGCTCTGGCAAGATAACTTTTCGTAACGCTGATAATCTTCCCTAGTAGGTATATGGAATTTTAAACAATCATATTATTTGCGATTAACAGTAGTACTACAGCTACAAATGCTTATCTGCCTTAGATTGTTTGCCTTTAAAATCGACATCCGATGTCTGAGGATACTAATTAAAAGTGAGACAGTGAACCTCGTGTGAGAATGCTTCGGTCGGAAGGAACTCAAGTCGTAGCCCAAACTGGAACTGAAATCCTGAATGCAAATTTCTGTATGAAAGCAAAATGATCCATTAGGATGCTTTGAATCATCCGAAACCGGTTGTTAAACGTCCAGAGTTAAAGGAGCCAACATGGATTTGAATGAATTTGCCGTGCAAATTCTTATCAGTTGTTATTTTGTTATTTTAATAGGTTTTCAGTCTAAAGGCTTTTTCGCCTCTGCTTATCAGTTGTTGTTAAAAAGATGAACAATTATGATTCGTAGGTTCTGGTATCCTTTATGCAGTGTAGTGGACCGAGTTGAGCTACAATTAACTTGGTACCGCCGAGATTGAATTTTAATAGCTATAAGTTTGTACATCTGCAGAACATCCCAATTATTTACAGCAAACGCATAGTGCTTAGATTTTAATAACAACATATCCATCTACTGAATTATTAAACCAAAGTTGATCAGATTGTTCATTTAATCAGTTTGCATAGCTTCTCCGTTCAAACTAAACCGCCATCTAAATGAACACCTTTTTTCCCCCATACGCTTCTCATTACTCAAAACTACGCAAAAACAGCTCACAAACTGGCATCGCTGCTCGGAACCTCAGGAGAGTGATTAAATCCCATTCTCACAACAACATTATACCTTCCACTTTTTGGAATAGATTAAATCCCTCTCCAGAATCTCCAGGCCGCGCACTTCCGGAATCCAATCCTGCAGCTAAAGCGATTCTATTGAACCACCGCAACAAAACAACAAAAAAAAATACCCTTGCAATCAAAAGATTGACCACCACACACCGGACCAAAACAGTACACACGCACTTTCTCTCTGCTTGCGCTTCCAGCTGTCAAATGCAAGGACAGAAACCCGATTCGCCCCCTTGAGCAGGTTCTCGAAGCGAGAAAAATAATTCTCACTAGGGCTGGCTGCCGCAGGGTTTTGCATAACACACGGCCCCCGCTGGCGTCCGCACCTTTCCGCCGATCGCGTCCTACCACTCCGCTCCACGTCGAAAAGCAGCAACTTCCCATGCACCACACACACTTTTTATTCTGCGCTGTCATGGGTCTGCCTTTCTCTTCCACTTGGACTGGAACTCAAATTTTGACCACTAAAAAGCATTTCGGGAAAGGGCTACTACATTTTCTGAGGGCGATACCTACGAGCACACAAACACGGCTATAGCAAGCACCAGAGAAGATCGGTCAAGGATTACGCATTTCGCCGAATTTACCTGATCGGGGGTGCTTTCTCGCCTGATTGGACACTGCCAGGCCGAATACTCTGGTACTCCTCCTCCGTCTCCTGATAGCAACCTTCCAGAACAATACAAGAAAATGTTTCCGCTGCCTCTTTTCAGCAGGACCTAAATGGCAGCCACGGACGCTGCACCAGAGCAAATTTTCTTCACTTCCACCTATCACGTAATGGTCGGACGAAAATGTATATATATTTACACACCGACGACGGCGATGGATCGCGTTTTTTTAGCACTACACTACTTTTTAGATGATTCCGCGGATGCTTTGTCGACGACGGTACACACGCATACCCAGAAGAAGGTCTCCGATTCCGATCTCGAGAGTGAATGGCGATGATGGCCTGTCCTGTGAGCAGCGGACAGTCAGAGAAGAAAAAGCAGCCAACAACACGAGGGAAGATTGGAATTTTTTAACGAAGATTTTGACAGTTCGATCGGGATTGACAGTTCTCATAGAGACTGTCTTGGCTCCGAGAGGGGCGGCTTTGGTTCGAGGCTTCAAGGCACTACTGGAGCAATGTTATATAGCAACAATCAATATTAAACTAACGATTTCAAATTGGCTCACTACTTGACTAGCCTATTGCCCTAATAAAAAATAACCATAAACGAACGACAACCCAAATAATAGAACTATTCCACAAATGGTTTGGATGATACCCGGAACACGTCGTTAAGCAAAATAACCATAACGATTTTATTAGGGTGGTCCCAAGTAAATCGATTAACGTGCCCCATTCTAGTCAAAATTCCAGTACTACACTATGTTTCTTTTGATTCGCTATGAAAGTTTGACAGATAAAATGAGGGGTTAGTGGATTTTCCTAAGTTTCGAGGGGTGAATCGATTAGTTTGGGACAGAAGCTAGTACCAGAGCTGAGCCAAAAAGTTGAGCTCGTTTCTTGGGGACCTTCTGGTCTTAGATTTACCTCTATGGTTACCCGAAAAAAAATAACAACAAAAATACATTAAAAAACAATGTAACAATAATAGCAACAATCAATACGAAACTAACGATTTTAAATTGGCTCACCACTTTAGTAGCCTATTGGTCCCAAGCAAACGATTAACGTACCCTATTCTAGTTGAAATTCTATTACTACACTATGTTTGTTTTGATTCGCTATGAAAGTTTGACAGATAACATCAGGGGTGTGTGGATTCATGCAGAACATGCAGGGGTGAGTGAAATAGCTTGGGACTGCTTGGGACCGTTGTTCTGGTACTGAGTGAGCCAAAAATAATAATGATTTTCTTCGGGACCTACTAGTCTTAGAGTTACCTCTATGATAATAGTACGTTCAGACTGGAGAGTTATAACATGTTATAACGGTTGTCAACTAATTGCAGTACAGAAACCACCATCAAGATAGTGCTATAACATGTTATAACTCTGTAGTCTGAACGTACTATAAGACGAAAATTATTGTCTTAACAATGATTTATATTGTTACGTCTACAATAAATTTACCTTGATTTATGTTGTACAAAACAATAAATTTCATGGTAAATGGAAAATTTACAATAAAAAAGGGGGGTTGTTAAGTATCTTAACAATGAAATTTTCGTGATTTTCCCATATAATTTTTTTTCAATAACATTATATATTATTGTTATTTTACTGTTGGTTGGTGAATTTATTGATTAAAAAAAATAACAGTGTACTTTAGAGTGTATGTGTTGGCTTGACAGATCTACTTTATCGACTTTAAAAATAAATCGAAAAAATAAAACATTGCCCCGGGAAGGGAAGGGGGTGGTATGTCTGTTACGGGTGGTCCTTTTTTTTTACTGGTTATGGATCGAGATTCGATCCGGAACTTGTGAGAAATGCAGGCCAACTCCCCTGCGCTCGATATCCCTAGGTCACGTCTCCTTGGTGGTTGAGCGTCGTTGATAAGTTAATGCATTCGACTGGAGAGAATCGCCCATGAAATATGCTTCCACCTGAGAGTTCCTTCCTGACATCTTCAAGTGGTGGAATTTTGACGTAGGACTACGTCTTTGATTTCTATATGGGGGTACACTTTGTGAAAACCGAAAATGGAACATGTAACAAATTAAGAAAGATTTTGAACGTTAATAACTCAGCTGTGCCTGGTCCAATTTCAATAATTTTATCACCAATCGATCAGAAATATGGCTACGCATCGATAACAATACTTTCGAATGTTGATTTTCAACAAGAAACTATTGAAAAACTGGTAAATGTTCAGCATTGTCCAAAAGCGTCGAATTAACTAACAAATCCACCAATTACCTACATGCATATGCTGCTTCCCCAGCACAGTCGTCAGAGAGAAGTAAGTAGACGAAACAAGTCGAAGTGGCATTCGCCTTAGATCCTCGGGCGCGTGCGAATAGGGAGGATGGAATTGCGTGTTATATTTTGCACACTCATCGCCATATTCAGAACCAAACGAAAATTCTTCAAGATAACCACCATCCGTTGTCTGGCTCGCCGTGGCGGTATCTGACGTATCTCCGGTTTGATTTACGAGGTGTGCTGAAGGTGTTCCTTAAAAATGAGATCCGTGATGCTGTCACCTACACTAAACACGCCAAGCGTAAGCGGCCATGGATGTCATCTACGTTTTTGAAGTGACAGAGACGCACTCTGTTTGGTTTCGGAGGTTAAATCATCACCAACATTGGAAACAAAACGGTTCTTTTCAGGGCCACCAAGCTTATTACAGTAAAGAGTAGGAATAGAATTTATCTGCCTGTTTGTTTGCATTCAGAATCACTGACCACACAAAATGCTCATGTAATCAAACTGGAAGCAGGGATACAAATTATTTTGATCAACCTTGATCAACTTTGAATCGCCACGGCCGGATATTTTAGAAGGAAGGAGCAACAATCTAGCATCTAATTCGACGAAGACGGCAGGAAACATTTCTGGATCAACAATAGAATAGGGCCCATCAGCATTTGTAAACAAACCGTTCCAAAGTCTCACAAATCGAAGGCCGCTCACACAAACCAACACCAACATCTTGTAGGTAGAAGTTTCCCCTATTCAATGATGGTGTTGGTTTGTGTGGGTGGCCTTCGCTTTGTGAGTAAAGGGCTTTGGAACGGTTTGTTTACAAATGCTGATGGGCTCTTTTCTATTGTTGATCCAGATTTGTGAAGCCGAGTTATTTACGAGTGTCGATGAAGAGAATCGATCAATGTAGATAGGACCTATTGAAAAGTGACGCGAGATTTGTTTTCCGTACTGAGCTCCAATGCTACCGACGCCAGGGAGGCAGCTCCCAGAGATGTTTTGCCTTAGAACATGCCGGTGGCGCCGACTGAGATTGGACTCAGGCCTGCTGGGGTGAGAGGTAATCATGCTAACCACCGGCGCCGATATCTATCACGGCGAATGAGAACGGCCCAAATTTGAGTTTAGTTATCTCAGAAATAAGAAATAAAGTGCAGGAGCTCAGCGATGAATAAATTTGCCTCATGTTTTCCCTGGTTTTTCCAGGATTTTCCAGGGAAAAATTCTAGAATTTGAGAAAAGTAAAGGTTGGATTCACTCAGTCTATTGGTACTACTCCGAGACTGAATAAAATTTTCGTCAATTTCCTCATTTTCTGGCAGACTTTTTAAGGTTTTCCACAGGAAATCATGAGACAAATTTACTCATCGTTGAGTTCCTACACTTTTGGCGATTATGAGTGAACTAAACTCAAATTTGGGTCGTTCTCATTCGCCGTGTACGCAAAAATAAAATAGCCAGTGTCGCTACTTGATAGCAAACTACTCATAATGGGAGGAGTCTTTGTAGCTTTTATACCACTTGGTTGCACATCATTCTGCTTTAACCTAAAAAGATATAAACAGCGCTGCTGTCTGGTATCAGCTCATTTTCGCTTCGGACGGCGTGGTCAGCAATAGCAGCAGTAGGAAAGTGGCTAGTCCACTTTTCTATAACCAACAAGCAACAATTGACTGGTCGTGGCAAAGGAGGTGCCAATCGTCATCGCAAATTCTTCGAGATAACCACCATCCTTCGTCTGGCTCGCCGTGGCAGTGTCTGACGTATCTCCGGTCTGATCTACGAGGTGTGCTGAAGGTGTTCGTGGAAAATGAGGTCCGTGATGCTGTCACCTACACTAAACACGCCAAGCGTAAGTGGCCATGGATGTCCTCTTCAATAAAACGGCCCTTTTCAGGGCCATCAAGCTTACATCAGTAAAGAGTTGGAATATAATTTATCTGTGCTTGTTTGTCCATATTCATAACCACAAGCCCCCAACGACCATACAAACTTGGAAGCAAGGGTGCAAATGATTTTGATTGATTCTCGTAATCAACTTTCGTTTTGAAAAAGATTACTACAAATTTGGTACCCCTACAATTCAAAAACGGAAAGAATTGAGATAATAGATATTTGATCAATTAAAAGAACTTAATGCTCTTCACATTTATTCCGTCCACTAGCGGTCCTACGTCAAGCTTCCGTTCGTGCCCCTAGGCACACACCCTTCTACTTTTTTATTATTATTGTATGATTATTGACTGCACGGAAAAGGTCTCCATTAAGCTTTAGAGAGGGTCTAGGATAAGATATGAGTGGACGCGGACTGCCTGGTCTTGAGCCAAACGAACTGTCAAAGCCAGAGCCATACGAGCAGCGCCTAAATATCTTGATTACATTGGCAGTGTTGCTGACCTGCTTCAATCAGATTTATTTTTATTGTTCGTGAAGTAACCCACAATGAAAATACACCAATATTTAATGTAACAACAATTTTTATTGTAATAGAGTTGTTCATTATTGTTCATGATCGAATCATGTTAACAATAAAATAAATGAAAAAACGATAAAAATCATTGTAACAACATTTTATTATGTACATTCATTGTACATCTAGGTAGCAGTTTTGCCGTTTTCGGAAGAGGACAACATTATAACAATCATTTTTATTGTCGACAATAAATATTAATGTTAGAGCATTGTTTCCACTGAAAATTTCACTGTAATTTTTTTTTCGGGTATAGTACGTTCAGACCTATGAGCTGGATTACCGAGGTGAAGCAATCGGTTAAGTTGTGTGAGTAAAACCCCTGTACGATACAAGCAATTAGTGACGTCACTACTTGCGTTTACGTTGATTTTTTGGTTTACTAATACAACCATATTTCACGATCTGCTTCACCTCTCTCTGTACCTCATTGCGTTCAGACTACAGAGTTATAACATGCTATAGCGCTATCTTGATGGTGGTAGCTGTGTTGCAATTATTTGACAACCGTTTTAACATGTTATAACTCTCCAGTCGGTGTTTTATTTATACTCGATTTATACAAGGTCTGGGGTTGCCGGCGCCGGTGGTGTAGTGGTAAGCGTGACTGCTTTCTAATTCAATTCCAGCCGAGGTCGGTGGGATTTTTCTGAGGCAGAAAAATCTCTGATCACGTCTTCCTTCGAAAGGGAAGTAAAGCCGTTGGTCCCGGCCCATGTGTGTTGTGAATGGGTGCGATATCCTACGCAGGTGTGGAAGCTGCCTTCCTGCACATTCGATTGCCGTCAATGGATGGCAATCGATGTCCGTCGGTGATTGACACTAGATTGCGGAACAGAGACCGACGTTAAATAAAGGAAAGAAGAACACGCAGAAAAAACACTCAGGCGTAAATTAACAAAACATTTTGTTATTTTTAATACGATATTTTTTTTATAAATGCTTTATTTGTACAGGCTCAATCGAATAAACTTTACAGAGCCGAGTTATCCTTTGCGTTATAAATTATTACTGTCTTATATTTAAAATTAAAGGAACTGGACCGAGTACTCGCGGTTGTCTCGAGGTTAGTGGAGATTTACAAATTTTTGGATGGGAAAAGGGAAGAAGGAGGTTTGAAATGTGGTTTACGATACAACTATTTAATTAATCCTAAAGCATGAAATTATTTCTATCCAGCTTTCCATGCTCGGTAATGGCAGCCTGTTTGTATGAATAAATGTATCCTTCACTGTGCTTTTTGACACTAACTGGAGGGTGTATGTTGTTCCATTTTCTTCTGTTCCTAGGAGAGGGAAAGGGAAGGGGTTGAAATTCGAACATCCAGATAGTGTCAAAAAGCACAGTGAAGGATACATTTATTCATACAAACAGGCCGCCATTACCGAGCATGGAAAGCTGGATTCATCTTGAAAAAAATACGATATTTATCTTTGATTCAATCTTGGATTCAATTAATAAAAAGGTGTTAAATAAATGCAGCAGTCCATTTAAATCAAACTGATAAAATTGTTTGAACTGCATGTGTCAAACTGTCAGTCTGTGTCAGCATGCATTTCATGAAGATCGTCACCACATCTTTTCAACTATGTTAATATTTCTTATTTATTCCATGTTATTTTTTAATAAGAAGATCCAAGAGTTTGTTTCGACAATTCCAAGCATACCAAAAACTACTAGGCCGCAATCAATGGCAAATGTGTTTCAACCAGGAGAAACTTTCAAAATAAGCATTTACGAATCTTCTATTATTTCACATTTCCAGATGCGGATAGCAACAAGCCGAGTTGTAGTAATCCAAATGCTGACACCACGTCCTCCTATTCAGCAAGAGAACCTTCAAAAGTAAAGTAATATCATCGAAATTTAGGACCAGCCCAACCCAACTAACAATTTTAGCTGCAGACTAGCTTATACAGCCAAAATTTGCCTTATGCAGCTAGTTTTTGGCTGTACAAACTAAGCTGCAGCTAAAATTGTTTGTTGGGAACTTCCATCAAGCAATCGGAGCTGAGACAAACAACGGCTATCGATGCCAATTAAAATTTCTCCACCGTTGAAAATGTGTCTATCCAGATGAATTTTCCCCTCTCAGGTAGTGGCCCTCGCTATTCCTCCAAAATATGGCTCCTCCAAACTTCCAGGAGCAAAATCATCCAATTTCCAACCACAACGTCTGGCTCAGAAGATTTAAGAGAACCATATCTTGTTGAACCATCATCGTAACCATCAGCCTTACAGCAGATGAACTCGCTTCCAGCAACACAAAAAGTCAACATTAACACCACTAACATCAGAATCAACATCAAAATGGCTCTGGTTCTGGTGAATATGACGAGTATGCCAACTTAATTAAGTGAACGTGACAAACAGTGACTGCTCAATTGTCTCAATCGAACAAAGACTTCTCGTACTTCTTACTACTTTACATATTATTTGCAATATTTTTTTCAATAAAGACAACCTGAGCATTGAAAATAAAAACGATTCTTAAATAATTAAAGTTATGTTTCAAGACAACAAAAAACGTACATTGCTTCAAAAAATGTTTAAATTTGATTCAAGCAAACATTTTGTTTGAATCAATAATAACCGATGATCAATTCAATAAAGTTAGTATAATTATTTCAACTCAATGTTTTTGTTGAATTACTCTGTCAATTTTATTGATCCATATTATATTCAAAATTTTGTTTAAAGTGAAACGAACTTTATTTGATTCACCTATGTTTTTTTCTGCGTGAAGAAGGTCTGGGGTCTGGGCCAAAAGGCTTATAGCAACAATCAATACGAAACTAACGATTTTAAATTGGCTCACTACTTGACTAGCCTATTGGTCCCAAGCAAAAGATTAACGTACCTCATTCTAATCGAAATTCTAGTACTACGCAATGTTTGTTTTGATTCGCTATGAAAGTTTGACAGATAAAATGAGGGGTTATTAGTTTTTCCTATGTTTCGAGGGGTGAATCGATTAGCTTGGGACCGAAGAGAGTACCAGAGCTGAGCCAAAAAGTTGAGCACGTTATTTCGGGACCAATAAAATTCATACTGTCATAATGTTGACAAAAAATGAAAAATAAGAGCAGACTACCAAACCATGGACGTTGAGATTACGGAGCTTGTGTGTTGACCACTCGTCTTTCAACGCTTAAGAAAATGGAGTGGCTGAAGGCGTATAAGAGCTACGTTATGTTAGACGAAAATCTTTCATAAGTCGCACGCATTCATATTTCCGGAGCACTTTGAGATTTGGGCGTTATTGCTTTTGTAAATAAACACGTCAATCGCCGATTTCCCACGAATAAAAGAACAATCTCACAAACAAACTATACCAAATGATAGAGGAACCATGCTTTTACCTGCTAGTGGTTTTAGTTTTTTAGATTGAGCTTTATTTAGCGAGAAATTGAAAATTACATGTTTGTTTACAAAAGCAATTACGCCTTAATCTCGAAGTTCTCCGGATTTGTCGTTCATAAGTCGAGTCTTATGAAATTCTTAAGTCTATATACCTCAGTGTGGGAATGGAGCTGAGAGAGGGCACTAAACTCAAACTTGGGTTTAAAAACTCAAACTTAGGGTATTTCTATATAGAGCTGGAATTAGGGCTTTTGTAAACAATGACTTCTCTCGATGATATCTCAGAATTCATGGCTCTCCCTGGCAATTCAACATCATTGAGTAGAGAAAGACTGTTACGCCCTAATTCCAGCTCTATTTATATTTATATTTTTCTGTGTGTAATCACATTAATTCGGTGCCAACATTTCGAAATTGTTTTTGTAAACAATGACTTCAACCGACGATTCATCGCTTATTCCTTCAAATTGACGATATAAACTGGTGGAGGAATCATGTATCAGCTTTTATACGCGAGAAATCAACACTGATAAAATTTCAAAGATTCTTTTTATGTGTCCCACACATGAATTTTTGCAATGTGATCAACAAATCAGTGCCAACATTTCAAAGGGGCGTAATTGCATTTGTAAACAATGGCTTTAGCAGTCGATTTCTCGCGAATAAATGCTCAGTCATGAAAAATAATGACACCAACAGGTATAGGAATGTTTCCTCTACCAGTTAGCGTTGTTATTTTGGAGGGGTGAACTTTAAGTTGCGAGAAATCGACAGCTAAAGCCATTGTTTACAAAAGCAATTACGCCCATTTGAAATGTTGGCACTGAAATGATATCTATGTGTCGGACTCATGCTTATTATGTGTACACATAAACGCCATGTGTAAACACACATACTATTAATTTGACTCATAAATTTCTGTTTATGTGTGGTCACCTTGGTGGTCACATGAAAATCATGTGGAATTTTACTTGGAAATTCGTCAATAAATTTGATGTGTGGAATTCTATTAGTGAATAGTAAATAGTAGTTTCGCTCTTTTGAAATGTTGATATAGATTTAATTTTTCTGTAAACATACCAAATGTAGTCGGAGCTTAACCTTTGATGGCGGTAACTGCCCCCTTGATGGATCAACTTTTTATTCCGACATTGTATGAATGACCTACCGATTGTTTGCTTAGAGTCGTGTTGATTAACTCTATTGTCAACATCATAGCAGCAATATATTCTTGGTCAGAATTTAATCCGAGAATAATATCGGTGTGAGCGGTGTGAGCTTACCACCACGAGAAACCTTCGTCAAGTATCAAGGATTAGTTTTTGCTCGGGTTTCTTGATGTTTGTTTACATCCAAGCGCAGTTTGACAGTAGTTTCGCCAAAGAGTTTGTTTTCGAATCGGTCAGAAGCAGCGCGGAAAGCGCTAGCATTAAATTTAATATTGAACATTACTGTTTCAATCATAAGAAAATAACCCGAAAGCGGTAAAGTGCGTGAGGATGTCCTTCAATTTTGGAAACACGAGCACCACCGGATTGGGATCGACCAGTACTCCGGCAAAACGTAAGTAAATAGGACTGCTTCTGGAAGGTTATGTCGATTGTTTTCAACTGCAGTACCTGCAACGGTCTGTGATAAACAGTTCAATAATCCTGGTATGGCTGTCCAATCTAACGAATGTATGATTTATTATGTCCTTAAAAATAAAAATAGAAATATAAAATTAGTTTGCCGTTCTGTACAATAAGTAGCACAAACTATTAAATTTTGTCTCCACGGTAAATATTAGCTTCGGGAGATAATAATCGCCCTCAACGAAGAAGCGTCTGTCCGGGATGGTTCTCTGCTTCCCGATCTTTGGAGTAGTTTTTGGAATGGCTACGCCTTCGACTGCTTTGCCTCCTGGTCGTTTCAATGTCCTGCTGGTTTTCAATGCTTTGGAAGCCCTTCCTGTGGAAACAGAAGAGCTTGCAGTGATGTTTTCGAATCTTGGTAGTTTGTGGAATGTCGTTACCTTTTATAACACATGTAGCCGAAAATTCCCAGCACGATGAGCAGGAAAACCGTAGTTATTGTAACCGTAATGTAGATGTAGAACATCTGTATTTTGTCGGACAGCATATCCGAACCGGATGTAGATTTACTTCGCCACATGTCTGTAAGCATACACGTTAGACTTGGAGGACGATTTCAAGCTATATAACAACAAGAACAACGACTGACCGGTAATGTTTGTATCATCGTCAATTTCCGGAGGATCTGGAAGGGCAACCGTCGTGGTGCTGGCGGTAGTCGTTGGTGGATTGATGTACGAAAACGAAAAAGCCGAACGGGTTGGCGGGCCAGGGAACACTAGTTGGCCTTTCTCGCTGAGGAATCGGTGACCCGATTTGATGTACATGGCTGTGGGGGAGATGGAAATCGTTAAAAGCTGAAACCGTGCCGACACCATACTTTTGATGTGTAATATTTGTTTTATATTTTAGACATTAGACTCTTAAGACACCAGGTGAACAGTTGACGGCCTGTATGAAGAAGCAGGTAACTCCGGGCAGATATGAAATCATGCGAGAATATTCCCTGGATTTGAGTTCAGTGGTGCAAACTTTGCAACTTCAGGTATGGTAAATGTCCCTAATGGCGGCCAAGTGCCCCTAATATTGGGCCCATACATGCATTTCGAAGGAATGCATTTTTTCACAATGTTTCACTAGCAACCAAAAATATCCATTTGTATTGTCCAGATTAGGAAAAATGGGAAAAACAAGAGGTTTTAATCGATGGGCCCAATCTTTAGATCCATAGGCCAACATTACAGCCAATTTCCCTTGGAGATTCAGCACAGGACTAAAAAAGCTTTTTTAATGAGCCTCATCAGAATGCAAAGACCAGATCGATTACAGCCAAAAATTTACAGCTGTTTCAAGTCTAAATTGCGGGCGTTTCTAAGATATTATTTTAGAGGAAACAAGATCAGTTAAGCTCGGTTTTACTAAAGAGTTATTCCAATCGAGCAGAAAACCTGTCAAATGGATAAGATGTCGCCTCTTTACCCAATTCAGTCTCTTTAGGTTTTACCATGCTGGAAATTTTGTCGAGTTCCCTGAGTATCATTTGTTCATGCATTGGTTTGCTTTGAAAACGCTCAATTAGTGAAACAATGTACCTGCGTGACATGGATAACGGATTGAAACATAGTTTACGATGCAAGATCAAGTTATGTAGAATTTTGGGATTTAGGATTGTAGGAAATTTTGGAATCTCAAACGGGCTATTCTCAACATTTGCCAACAAAATCATAACATTAGCTCTTCTAAATTTTAATCTTATTAACTAATGTTCTTGCAAATTACCAATCAAACGATGTCCTGAATCGAACGCAGCGAATCGCTATATTCCATCACAGAAATTCGGCCCCCAATAGTGATGACTTGGACATTCGTTGAATTATTCTGAACAATATGCTCAATTACTTCCTATAAATGCTTCGCCTTCGGAACCACCAATAATCCATTTATTATACCATTTATTCACGGCAAGGTCCCGTCACCCTCACTTGACACGTAGGTAATGTTGGAATCCGCAATTTGCGTCGCAATTGAACCACAGTATGAGTTTCTTCACTTGGTCGACAACCCCGTCGTCCGACCGTAGAATCTAATGGCACTTATTGGGAACAAGTCCGCAGCACGACATGGAACGGAACAGCAGCTAGGACCGCGAACCACGAAGCAAGTGCTTTCGCTTGCCAACACTATCACCGACTGAGGCCCGGCCTGGATGGATGGAGACCCGAAAACCTTGTTGCACCGACCGGGGTGGAAAAACAGGAAGGGATTGTTTTTGTTTCGGGTTTCGTTTTGATACGCTGATTTTAATTCAATTAGAACGCGCGCGGGTTTCCTCGGCCACTTTCTGTATGGTGTACTATATCAATGTGGTCTAATTCCCAAACTGTTCAAGCTCAGGTATGATACTTTTGCATGCCTAGTTTGCTTCCCATCACGGTGTGCCCTAAAATGGTCAATCTGAGATCAATAGAGCGATGTATTTCTGAGTAGGGGAAATGGATGTAATGTCGGCCTAAATTACCCTAATTTGGACCCATACATAAATTCAGCAATCGACTAAATTTTCAATAGCGACCAAAAATATCCATTAGTACCGTCCTAATGACGCGTTCATCTAGATAAAATTGATAAATAGCAGACTTTTAGCGATGGGCCCATTATTAGATCCATAGGCCAACATAAGAGCCGTTTCCCCTATATAGATCCCGCTTCTTTCTGGCGCTTTTTCAAAAGCAGGAAAGTCACTCAGTCGTTCCCATCGGAAATTACATTCGATAGCAGAACGAGTTCCGACACCGTAGGTTCATTTCAAATGCTATCCCTCCGGCAGACTCTCCGGAATTGTTAAACTCCCTGCCGTCATACGATAGGTCAAAAGGTCCTGGATCGGATAAACTACCTCCCGTGTTTATTCGTCGTGCTGAAGTACTCTGACCACCTGCTTTCACTATCGGGAGCTGTCTTCCCGAACACATGGAAGTTGTCTGCGGTTACACCCATATACCAGGCCGGAAGCGTTGAGAATTACCGACCGTTTTCTATTCTTTGCTGCTTAGCAAAGTCGCCCGAGCTTTTGATTCAAGATAGAATGTATTCTGCTGCGAATGACTTGCACAAACCACACGTCCTCAGAGTCCAGTGGAATTTGCGGCGTAACCCCCGAAATTTTTGGAGCTTTGTCAACAATAAAAGGACATATTCGAGCATACCCAAGTAACATTTTAAGTTTTATGAAATACTACAAAGCAACTATAAAACAACATTCATAAAACCCTGGTCAAGGCTATTTTGTCATAAATGCATCCACCAAAACCTCATTAAGACTAGAATATGTCTAGTTGGCCCACCCTGGAGAAGGTTCTGAATGGTGTATTCTCGAAGCTCTTCAAGATTGATTTACTGCAAAAAGTTGTATGACGAACGCATTGAGAACCATTTGAAAGCTACAATAAAAGCTATTTAGCAACAATAAAAACCCTTTCCGAGTCCCTGTCCAAGGATGAGGGGCTTGATGATGATTTGTCAAGTGTCGCTATGATTTTTTTTTATTTTGTTAAAATTCTAGTTTTTCTTCAGTTCATTGATTTGAACGGTTCAAGTGAGTTAATTTCACGGAGCCGTAAATTGTAGTTTTATAATAATTTTAATATTAGCATAAAATAAAATAGTAATTTTAAATTCGCTTTTGTAATGCTAAGGTAAATAGTTTGCTTTGAGTGTAAAGTTAATTTATAAGAAAGTTCTAACAGTTTTTTTGCACTTCGAAACTTGACGGGTCATACCTCTAACATAGTAGCAGTGATAGTGTCGCATGTCCTAACAACAACTACCTGCGACTAGTGTTCGAGGGGCCGACAGGGCTGAATAAGGGTCAATACTAACAAAACTCTAACACTAACATGACCCCGAAACTAACGTTCATCCATTGCACTAATAGTTATAATGTAGTTGTACTTTCCTAATAACCCATCTATCACAGATAAACAGACATAACACTCATAGGTTGTTCATCGAATACGCATTTGACGGTTAATTGGAGCGTTTTTGGTTGGCGGTTAAGCGTACTATCCATCACGTGATACTCGACAGATGGCGGTAGTGTTTTAGTGACTATGTTTTGTGGAGAGAAATATTAAATGCGTTATTTCTGTTTGTCTGTGCATCTATGTATCTTTTTCGTTGTGTGTGTGTGTGTGTGTGTGTGTGTGTGTGTGTGTGTGTGTGTGTGTGTGTGTGTGTGTGTGTGTGTGTGTGTGTGTGTGTGTGTGTGTGTGTGTGTGTGGAGGGGGGGGGGTTAATGTAACCAATACTAATACCTTTCTCTCTGTTCTTTTATTCGTTTTCTATATCCCTTCACCATCACCCCATATCCCATCATTTTGACGAGAGATGACTTACTTGCATGGTGCATGCCCAAGTCGTACTACAGGATAATATGCTGAGCGTGGTTCTATCACAAATCGATAGAACTGAGGAATAATGAGGTAAATTCTACACAGTATTTTAAAGGAGACAACTCTAAGCAGGTAATAATAGCAATTAATAATCAAACAACCATAAAAAGGTAAGAATGAATTTATTTATTTTAAATACAGTAATGACCCGATTTTGTCAGCCCCTCCGCGCTTCAGATTTTTTTCTTTCAATAATTTCACATAATCATAAATCTAAATTTTTGTCATTCGTCATTCGTTAAGAGGGATATTTAAAGTATACTTTGGTGCAATAGGTTCAAGAAGATTACTGAAAAAGGGCATGGGTTTTGTAGAACATTGGAAAACATTTTTAAAAAAAGGGGTTGACAAAATCGGAACATTACTGTATTCCATTTACATTTACATGATTTATCACATATTTCCGGAGAGCTTCGAGGTTGGAGCGTAGTTGCTTTTGAGGATGGGCACGTCATTTGTCGGTTTCTCGCGGATTGGGGCTCAGTCTGGAAAAACTAATAACACAAACAGGTAGAAGAATAGTTCCTCTATGATTTGTTATAGTTTGTTTGCAGGATTGTTCTTTTGTTCGCGGGAGGCCGACGATTGACGTGTTTGTTTGCAGGGGCGATTGCGCCCAGATCTCGGGGTTCTCCGGATTTATGGTCGTAATACACACAGTTGATCACAATACGAGCCTAAAAGCTGCAGTGACCTAGTGAGCACCATAGCTCGAGTCGTCTGAAAGTATTGTGTATCGCATGGAGAGCCCAACCGAGATTCTAGCCTATTATAACTGCAGTTGGTCAACTCTCGAAAAAAAAAAAAAAAAAAAAACCCTTTCCGAGTCATTTCCCCTAGCCGCATGCTGAATCCACTAGGAAAGCCTCAATCAAGATAGAAAAGGATTTATGAATCCGATCTTATCAAAATAATTAAAATAGAAACTGATGGTATAAAAATCTTGTTGAATATCCAAATTTATTACAATAGTTCTCATTAAGTGGCCTAGTTTGAAGTGCCATATAAAATTTTATGTGAAATGTACGTGAAAACATGGCAAAAATTAAGTCCACCCTCGTAAAACGTCGATTTGACTATTTATTTAACATTGAAAAAAAATATATATATATTCTTCAGATCGAGCTTGGCCGAGATTTTTTTTAATTATTTTCATATTTAAATGTTTGCTCATTGCTAAATTTACCAAAATATAGTTATATCTAAGGAAATATTGATTGAAAATCGAAGATTGTAAAAAACAAGCAAACTAATTGTAACATGGCGGTGGCATAAAAGTTGATTTTCATGGGTCATATGTGAAAAAGTTGTTTTGCTTTCAAGAATTCCTTAACAAATTCATAAGGTTTCAAAATGGCTTTTATAAAGAAAACTTGCAGGCTGAATTGTATTTATCTAAAGCCATTTTGCTTTATCCTAACCCGTTCAGATTTATGGCAGCATTTATGGAGGCAAAGTTGCCTGCAAAAAGTTAAACGTCAAAGTTTGTTTATCTTTCGATAGCCCTCCCCATGGACATGGAGGTTGACGGTACTGAAGCAAAGGGTTATGTTTAATTTCTTTATATTTGCAACGATGATGATTTCCCATAGTGACACATATCACCTTCTTAATGCTTCAGTATACCTCAAACGATTAATTCTTGGTTGTTAATAGAACTTCCTTGATGCAATCGGCTGCTTCATGCAGACTGAGCAATTCTGATTATAGTATCAGATTTGTTCTGTATACAGAGGAACTGGGAGGGCTTATTAGAAACTTCTCACCAATAAAGTAATGACCTTCTAGTAAATTTTGCATATCATTTTATTAATATTTTATTTTATTTAAGCATATTATTTTTGTTACAGTCAATTAGCATTAGCATACAATACAAGAGATTTAATATTACTTGCTCGGTTTTGCGTAAAATAATCAATTTTTTTTTTTTTTGGTTTCAAAATTTTCCTAGTTTGGTTAGAAGTTTCGAAGCTAACACATGTCCACAGGCCTAATAGAAAGATAGACAGACAAAGCGTATCATGAAGAATAGTTGCATGCAGGGTTGCTTCCACTCACTTTCTATAGATGAGTGATTTTCGGAGTTTTGAATTCGTTAGATGTTGTAATGGAGGTTTGTGTTGTTGGATGCGGGAGGAGATTGTAGGGCGGGTGTTTGACGCATAAGGCCTGTCAATTTCGCTTTCAGAGTGTCGCAGTCAGCGGTTTTATGATTCGTGAGCGCTCGCGATTCGTAGAATCGTTGATTGTGACTGCCAGTGGATTTGGCGGGTTTTGTGTGTCGGACGCTTGCTTTTTGGCCTTTTCTTGTGTCTAACATGTGCAGAGTATCATTATAGCGTCTAATGGTTTTGAGATTCCTGGTTGCGTGAAATATACTTGTGAGAATATTTTTTTGAGATTTTAGTAGTCACGTTTTGTTTGTAGTTTATATGTTATTTCTTTCATGTAATTATCGTAAATAATAGTTATTCAATAATAGATAATTCATCCATATATTCAATAATAAATTTACAAATGACTATAATTTGGATACCTAACAATTGGACAGAATCACTAGCAAGAATAGGTTGTGTTCGCCTTCGAAAATATCGATTCGTTTTTTCAGGGTTGTAGTTTTGGTTTTCATCAGTGGCCCGGCTCTGATTGTGAACGATTTAGGTAGTATTTCTAGGTAACTATTTAGCTTTTAGCACAACTTTGCTACTACGAATCCACAAAAGACATTAAATTGGAGGCGGATTCTGG